TCCCGCGCCGCCCGGCCGCCGCCGCGCCGGCCCCGGCCCCGCCGCGGGGAGTCACGTGACCGCCGCCGCACCGCCTCCCGCGGGGAGGGGAGCCGCCTGAAGCGGGAGAGTCCAAGCGAGCACCGGCGGGGAGGGGACGGAGAGCCGGGGAGCCCAAACCATTCCCGCGGGGGGAGGCGGGCGCGGAGCTCTCCCCCTGCTCAGCAGCGCCCACCCGCGGAAAGGCGCGGCGGCGGCCTCGCCCACGCACCGCAACGGCCCGGCCTCGCACCGGTCCCGGGCCCCGAGCAAGCGAGGGTCGGGCCCGCGGAGCCGGCTGTGGAGAGAAACACCGTGCGCCTTTCTCGGGGGTTTGAGACACAATTCCCGTACCCCACGGCGCGGGCTGCCCCTCTCCGCGCCCACGTCCCGCACACCGCCGGCATCAGCCGGGAGCCCGGTGGAAATACCCCACGGGCTGGCGGCCGGACAGGAAACCGCGGTAATCTAAATGAAAGCATCCTAATCTCTTAAAACCTACTTTAGTGCCTCAGCCAAAAGCCAAGCTCTTTATTGAATAATGTAAGAGCTTTCAAATATTCTTTTAACACAGTCCGTGTCCCATTTATATTTCTGCAGGAAACACTCCGTGGAGTTGCAATGCTAAATATATTCAACAAACACAGACAAAAAATCATCACCCCCCCTCCTAACCTGTAGCTTTTATCATTAAATTGATTCATACTAGACTTTTGGTAGATTGCTACCACAACAGCTTCAACCAGAGAAGACAGGGACAGGCTGGTTGCCTGAATTCCTACGTGCTGTTTCTTTCCCAACAGAAGTTGCAAATACTAAAACCAAGATACCCCATCTGTACATACTTAATAGAAAATTTATGACTCTTTACATGCACCGTTTCCTTAAGACCCATTAACAACATTTGTTTATCTATCAAAACCAAACTGCTAGAAATTAAAGTATGCTTTGATCACTGTAGTAATTTCCTAGACAAAGGAGGAACAAACAAGCAAGTCGACAAAATTATAATACACAAAATTATCATTGTAATAATTTAAGATATAGCAGCCTTCCGTTATCATAAACCATTAGTGGCAAAGTGAATTTTAGATATAAACTGAGATACGAGAAGAGCTGCGTGGTGTGCAGCAGGAGCGGCTGCGCAGGGAGGCTCTTGCTGTCTCCAGCTGCTGCAGGTATTTTACCTGGATGCCGTGTGAGCCCCACCAACTTCCCCAGCAGTTAACTCCTGGATTCTGTAACAGATTGCTATCCAAAATAGCAAACTGCGCTTCGTCAGGTTAAACTCAGAGCAATGGCTCTGTGGTGGTATTTCATCTGCCATTTCCATTTAAGAGCTGAAAGAGGGCCCGGCCAAAAGCTTTTACCACTTGGTTTTAGAAAAGGTATCACCTCACGGCTTCTCACAAGCCTTCCCTTCTTTATATTTTTATACTTTCCCTTGTTTACATTCTTGCTATCATGGGCAGAACAAAATTTTAACTATTATTATCATGCATTCCCTTCTAGTTTTTGCTGGCCTGTAAGTTTTCATGTGAATAAAAAGTATAAATATATACAAGTAATATAAAAAGAACGAAGTACTTGGTAAGGCTGCTATTCTCTGCTCATTTTCTTAAACAAACATTAACCAATAACTTAATTCCACTTGATGCTTAACAGACAGAATCTCTTGGCAGAAGAGAGTTTAGAGAATTGAGACACAATCTTTGAGGAAGAAATCACTGAAAAAGAGAGGATTGTCACCTACTGGAGATAGTCCTAATTACCAGGGAAACATTAATTCCGGAAGATTTTCACCTAGCCATTTTAAATACAGTTCAGTTTTGGTAAAATGTGATCTTCCTCAGTTGAGAAGGGATGTCAGATGTTTAAGAATAAAAAATACATCTGCATGTATTTTAAGTACTGTAACGTTTAAACAACTGAGACTATCTGTTTTCTCCTTCAAGAAGCCTACCAGTGCAGGAAGAAATTCTGACTTCAGAACTGGGAATCTATTAACTGAGAATGCTTTGCTACAAACTGCAATACAGTCTCATGAAATAGCGGGGCTCTGCATATGGAATTTGCCCTCACAAAGCTCTGTGAACTCTGTCTTATGTTGCAGAAGGACAGCAATCTATCTGTATAAATATTCGGCAGAGCTTGGGCAAGAGTACCTTCTAGGAAAAGCATCCTCTGCGATGTCAGTTGCTGGAATAAAAATGAGTACAGGCCCATGTGGGGCAGCTGGATTCTGAAGAGCCAAAACTGTTGAGCATTTGAGCCTATCTTGCTTTCTTCCACCCTCTATCTTTCCCCCTCAGCCACTATCTCCACCCTCCTGTCCCGCCTCTCGCAGCAGGATGCTTTCTATCAGGTAGCAGCAAACGTGGTGTTGGCTGCTGGCTGGCCAGTGTCCATCAGCTGCTGTAGGGAGTGAGTCTGCAGACTGCTCATACCCACTGAATAACACCAAAGAACTGGATAAACATCTTTGGCTCATCTCACCTTCCCCTGCCCTCCACCTCCTGCCTTGAGACTTCAGTTCAAGGCAATACTTGGTTTCTATCTGAAAATTAGATCTGGCCTAATAAATACATTTGTTTAAAACCACCAAACAAACAAACAAACAAACAAGAATGTCATATGTATTTTTAAAATATTTTTCCTTATTTTTCAGACAGCACAGAAAACGTAAAACATTTCAAAAAGTCAACTGTATATTAATAGAAAAGCAATTGAGAGCTGGTTACATGATGACTATGTTCTACTAAAATAATAAAGCAGTGAAAAGGCTAGATATACCAACTTACCCAATTTCATTAGAAATTAGGAAACAGTGTATGTAAAATTAGTTATATATTAGTATAATACTGTATTTATAGTATGCATATTACATTACACATATATACCATATACATATATTATCAACACACTATACAATGTATATTGTATATAAATAGATACGATATACAGAGTATATTTATAAATAATATATTTCATATATGCATATTTCTATGATTATATATTTAATATATACTATAAATGAAATAGCATATTGTATGCATGCTTACTATGTATATTATATGACTATACTTGTTATGTTAGCAAGATACTCATTTGTATATTGGGTATGAGTATCTTTTAATAAGCTTAATGCAAACTAGAAATAGGAGCAGGGAAGGATCTGAATGAAAATGAGATAAATGGAGAGTCTACCTGACGAGAGAGGATTAAACCAGCTGAGTTGCTTATTCTTTCAAAATTAATGCTGAAAGATAATGCAATAACTCTTTATATAAACAGTCAGGCAGTTAAAAGATCAAGAACAGAAAATAAGTCTGAAACTAAGTAACAATGATAGTGCTATAATACAAAAAGTGTAACCACTCTTCAATAAATCCGGGCTGATAATAGTGTAAATTTCCTAATCACTGGAGAAATAAGGTTTTGAATGAAGTTTTCCAACAAGAGTAGTGGCCAATAAAGTCCTAATAAGTTTTGAGGAGCTTGGTGAGCTCATGAAAAGGATTTTGTGCAATCACTGCCACTGTAAGCAGAGGGACTCAGTGGTCAGACACAGATACACCAATGCCTGTACAGAATCTTTTACAAAGTGGTTTAAATACAGTGGTTGAAACACTGTGCAGCAAAGTTCAGAGTTGAAACTGAAGTGTAAATCAGCTCTTAGATGTATTCCAGGCTTTGTGCTTTCTATTATTTTTATTAATCTAGGATAATTTGGCTCTTTTTCAATGCAATCATGAAACCAGTAAGTAACCTATAAGCAAATACCTGCTATTGTTTTCCTGGTAATGATCATCATTCGGAGGACATGATCTTGCTCCATTTACTGCTCACGATACACCAGCAGGGACAGAAACACATTGCCAGAGAACACATCTGTAGAATGTATATGTATTCAGCAGCTCCTAAAGCAAAGAGGTATCCAAAAATCAAAATTAGATTGTTGCCATCTTGACATACACTGCAACTACACCATTTATGCCTGTGACTTTCCAACGATACACACTATCATGCCTGCACAGAATATTGTAAATTTTACCACGAGTTGTATCTAGAATATTTCAACAAAATGTACAATCATCGCAATGTCACAATAATCTTGCCAGTCCTTGTGTAACTTTGTGATACCACTTTTCCTTCTTCAGAAAAAAGTGATTACGTTTTCAGTAATTTCATCTCAAAAGCAACTATAGATGAGCAAATATTGGTCTGAGCTAGTTAGTCTGACCTGCCATGCAGCTAGTCCTCCCTCCAGTCCTCTAGTGGACACAGAGTTATTGCTGTGAAGTAGATTTTCATAGTGTTAACATTAAAATTGACACATCTATAGCTCCAGGAAAATGAATCTACTGCTCTGAAACAGTTCCTTACGTTTTGATAGTTCAGCTTGATTCTGAATGTCTCAGAAGCTACTTCTGAAGCAAGTTTGTATTGCAAAAGATATGTTACGATGTAAATACCAGTAAAAATTTTGCTGTATGTTTTCACATTGTTTTATATAGCAGTAAATGCCTTTATAGAAAGTCATAGTTTACAATTTAGTATGGCTTAACATACATAGCATTTGTTGCATTACTGAAACCAATGAGAAATTGATTTAGTAAACTGCTGATGAATAAGCTTCAGGGATAAGAACTCAGTAGAAAACTCTGCATCTCCAATTTTCTCCTTACCTGTTTATTCTGTTTCCATTATCAGTTTGCATCTTAATTTTTATACTAGAAACTAAACTTTTGCTCTATAGTATGCCTCATTCATTCAAAATGTAACAATCTCACTCGAGTCAGGATCTCCCACTAAGCAACTGGTTCACAACCCCTCCCCACTGACAATCTTAATCTGATGTATATCAAAACATGAGATGTATATCAATACATGAGATGTATAATAATCTGATGTATATTAATAATTTTGTAGATCATCATTGCACAATACTCTGAAGTCTGGCAGAGTCACCTATAATGATGTTCAGTGTTTTTCTTCTCTAGTCAGTTACAGTTAACTTAGAATTCCCAACAGGCTTCCTTCAGCAAAAGATCTGATTTTTCATCAAGACCACAGATTACCTCCTGCACTTTGACACACTCAAGCCAAAATTCAGATGTTTGGCAGCTACACACAAATTCTATCTCTGCTGCATTTCATCATCCTGAAACAGACACCAGCTCTTTAGGGGACAAATGTGAGTGTCACCTCCCTTCCATTTCCCTTATCCAAGATGGCTACAGAGCCGGCTGTTTCTGCCCTCAGCTATGATGGCTATCATAACATTTTTAATAGACTTCCTGCCCGGAAAAAGGATGGCCACCTAAATGGCATCTTGCTGCCCTTACCTAACATGGCTGCCAAAGCTCACTGCCTCTTTTGGTTGTGTGGCAAACAGCAGTTCTCAGAAACGAAGCATGAGCTTACACATCCTCCTCACTCCTGCTGAGTGAGCACAGTGCAGCCGCTGAGCATTTTATACCAAACTCTTTTCATCCACCTGTTGCTGTCCCCAGTTCTAAGATGGACACTTTCTGGTATGCATCAAATAGCTCAAAAAAATACCCAGACATTAATTGTATCTTCATTTCAGAGTGTAACCACTTTCTCTCTTTTTGACTTAGTCTATGAGTCTGCCCCTGGTAACTTTTGAACTCATTAGGCAATTTGAAACAGAAGTAAAATAGTCTGTGAGATAACTGAACCCATCCAACTTCTGTGAAAGCTGGCACTCACACAGAAAAGGAAGGCTCAAATTAATGCCCTTGCTGAAAAGTAGGTACAACTCTTGTTGTTACATGAGCCACTTGGCAGTGCCAAAAATTATTAGAAAGGCAGCTGGCACATCCCATTGCTTCCCCCATGGGACTGTCAAAATGGGATTTCTCCAGGGTATGGAGAGGGTTCAGGACACCATAATATGGCAGTGGCTTAAAGTTTAAAGGGCACAGATTCTTACAATATTAGTTTGCTCTACTGGTCTCAGGAAGACTTCAGAAAGATACTGTACCAACAATACAGTATGAAATTTGTTTGAGTCTCAGTAAAAATATCTAAAAAATATACTTACAGAGAACATCAGAAAAAGATATCCACTGCTTATCTTTTTTACTTGATTCTCTTAGGCCCTATAGATGGAAATTGCTCTTCTTCATCTTAGATTTTACTTTCAAACTCTTCCTCTGTTCAACATGCATATAAAAATATAAAAAAAGTTCTCATAAACATTCTTTTCCTTCCAACACCTGTAGTACCCTTTATTCTCACTTTTTATGCCTTTGCAATTCCAAAATATTCTCAATTACTTCTACTTTTGCAACTATTTCCCTCAAATCTAACTCCTGATAGACTTAAATTTATTCCCCATTTTCTCCATCCTCTTATTATACCCCTCTTTCGGTTCCTTGTGGCACCTTGTGTGCTATAGGCAACAGCCATACTGGATTTCCATTTATTTAAAAAATGAATAAATTACGAATAATTATCACAATAGTATAATCTCATAAACAATCTGATTAAAGCTAGGAACTAGTGTTACAGATTTTTTTTTGTTTGTTTGTTTCTTCTGTCAGGAGAACTGACAACTATGAACAAACAGTCCTAAAACTTCCACCTATTGGTCTTTCTGTATTTGTCTTCAAAAATCAGATTTGTCTCTCATCTTGGATTTTGTTTCTTTGCTTCAAACACAGATATTACAGTCTGGTTTTGCTCTTCTTTTCTCATTGGAAGAAAACAGAAGAAAACTAGGCTGTAATGAATCACAAATTCCCCTCCCCCCTTCCAAAATCACAGTGCAGTCAAAAAGAAAGGAAGGAAAACGAAGACAACCCTGAGTTTTTACTGTGCTGTAATACCACAGCAATCACACTTTTTCTCATATGCTGCACTGCCTTACCTCAATTGTTGCTTATTTCCCCTCATACATGCCGTTTGTTTGTTTCTTCTGTCAGGAGAACTGACAACTATGAACAAACAGTCCTAAAACTTCCACCTATTGGTCTTTCTGTATTTGTCTTCAAAAATCAGATTTGTCTCTCATCTTGGATTTTGTTTCTTTGCTTCAAACACAGATATTACAGTCTGGTTTTGCTCTTCTTTTCTCATTGGAAGAAAACAGAAGAAAACTAGGCTGTAATGAATCACAAATTCCCCTCCCCCCTTCCAAAATCACAGTGCAGTCAAAAAGAAAGGAAGGAAAACGAAGACAACCCTGAGTTTTTACTGTGCTGTAATACCACAGCAATCACACTTTTTCTCATATGCTGCACTGCCTTACCTCAATTGTTGCTTATTTCCCCTCATACATGCCTGGCTAAACTGCCTGGCCCAGCTCCACTTCTCTTCTTCACGGCTGCCTGGCCTTTCTGGCATGAGAGAACCCTCCCACATCCCTAATCCTAACACCTTGTCCCGGGGTAATTATAGTGCTGGCACGACTCCAACATCTATCTCATATCAATCAATCTCCACTTGTTTGCTTTATAGGGAATGACGGACTTAAAAATGAATTCGGACCGGGGAGACCTGTTCGGCACTAGCCTGCCGTACGACCTTGAAAAAAGGAACCACCTTTCCTTGGCTTCTAGAAAACTGGGATAAATATGACCTTGGATGATGCTCCAAGACCTACTGAGAGAAAAGGCTGCACCAGTGACCCCACCTCTGTCCTGCCCTGACCCGCCCCCGCCACCGCTTCAAGGGTTCCCCCTTCCAGCTGCCAACCTGTAACCAGAGACAGCGAAACACGGCCGGCATTTCTCCCTCCCCAAAACACGTCAGAGGACACTGCGGCTTCCAAAATTTTCAACCTGGGATGACAAAACGAGGGGAAGAGCCGGGGGGGGGGGGGGGGGGGGGACTCGGGGAGGCTCCGACACTCCACCAGCGGAGCTCTACCGATACCGTGACCCCAGTTTCTCCTCAGGACTCCGCCGCTGAACGGCAGCCGAGCCCTGCCCGCTCCCTTCCCTCCCTTCCTCACCCTCAGGGCAGAGCCGAGGCTAGCAGGGCAGGGGAAAAACATGGCACCCGGCCCCGGGGCTCACTCACCTCAGACACCTGTCCCCGCTCCCACCTACTAACGCCTCCTCTCTCTGCCCTTCCGCAGCAGCCCCTCTCCCCCTTTTCCCGCTTCACAAGAGACCGTTGAGCCCCCAGCCCACACAACCGCCCGAGCCCTCATCCCTCCCGACTCAGCCCGCCGCCCGCATCCCCTCACAGGACATCCCCTCACAGAACTGAC